AGGAGGAGGTTGCTCAAAGGATGATTTTACCCAGAGTGTGTATTATTTTCTTTTGTTTATTTAAATTATTTTTTGCTTTTACTTTTTTTTTTAAAGAAAAATTTATGTAATTTTTTATATTTTATTTTATTTATTAAAAAATAATTACTTCAGGAGGAGTACTGAGCTTTTTGCCCATTTCAAGAAAAAAAAAAAGAGAATTTTTTTGTATAGGCCGATATTACATAGATTAAACTACAAATGTACAAACTTATCATAAAAATTAAAAACTCATTAAGTAATTGAGAACATAGAGGTGAGGTAAGTTGAGTCATGTTTCTTTCGTAAACATAAAAAATTGAGGAAAGGGTGGAATTTGAATCATAATCATAATGTGTTGCACTCTAATCAACTCTGCCAAGCTGTGGATGCTGGTAGAGATAATTTGTCATTCAATCGTCTCTCTTAACAAGTTTTGTATACAATCACGTGGGCTTATATAACCAGCTTCCTTTCTCTTTCGCCACTCAGATTTAATTTATAAGTCTTGCCATGCCTCTCCTTGCCTCAGTTACAGAGAATGTTCAAAGAAGGAACCAAGCAAACCCATTTTTGAGCTTATCTTTTTCGGTAGATTCCTTCCAATTTCAACCATTTTTCTTTCATAACCTGATTTAACAAGAATAACGTATGTATATGCTATGGTAATATTCCCGAAGATCCTTTAATTTTAGTGAGAGATAATATATATGTTTGAACTAGACTAAAAAGGTCAATTTAATTTATAATCATAAATTGTTTGTAAGTAATATATAAGGTCAAGTTTTTAACAGTAATTTTTTTTTTAATAAAAATATAATTAAATAATATAATATGTGAATGAGATGGTTTATTTATTTTTTAGTTGAGAGGAATAGAAGGGAGGAGAGGGATTCCTCTCCTCCCTTCTCCTCATTTAAATAAATAAATAAATTTAAAAAAAATAAAGGAAATTATTCCCATCCTCTTCCTATCCCTCCAATTTTTTTATAATCAATGGAAAATTTTTTTCCTCTCGACTTCTCTCCCCTCTTCATTTGCCTCAAACCAAACATATCGTTAAAGAATTGTGAGAGATGATTGCCTTCACTATATAATTGAAAATTAAAATGAAAAAAAAAAAAACATATCTTATAGTAGTATTAAATAAAGCCGCCGTATGATAACTTCACCAGTGGCTCCCATGCCCTGGATCCAACCTGAATTCTATGATTGGTGAATTAGATCAATTTCTTATTCATTCTTAACCTAAAATAATAAATAAATTGATCAACACAAGCCATTTTTAAATCTTGACGTTACCTGTATCCAAAATTTCTTTTCTTTATGATAGATAAATTTATATAAAATATGACTAATGTATATATCTAAATATGTGTCCGCTTCCTCCAATGACCTGTTACGTATATAAAAATAGAATCTTGATTTTGTTTAAGATATTTTGATAATCCTAAGGTTTAGATCCATTAATAAATAAACGTTATTTTATAAATGAAGGGCCTGCTTGGTATAACAATTAAAATTCAGTGGATAATAGATAATGGTAATGGATAGTGAGCGGCAATTAGTGGATAGCAGATGGCAAATGACGAATGGTGGAAAATAAGTAATGAATGGTAGATAATACTAATAGATTTGATGAATATAACTATTTGATTATATAACAGTTAACAATTGTTATTTAATATTAAATGATTAATAAGGATATATTTAAAAATAATTAAGTATATATTTTTTAATATTTTTTATTTTTATTATTAAAATTATTAATTTTATACAAATAATAATAAGAAAATAAATAAATAAAATTAATTGTAATAATGTAGTTACAACCTCATTTTTATTTTTAACAAAGAAAAATTTATATTATTTTTAAATAAAAAATTAATCATTTTGTCTAATTAGTAAATTTTGTTGATTAAGATAATATTTTTTTATGATAAATTAATGTAAAAAATAAAAATATAATAACCACTTAATGTTATTAAAAGTAAAAAACAAAATTAAAACTTATTAGATAAATATTAATTAAAAATTGTGGCCAAAAATTAAAAAATTAAATGGATAAATTTATCAATAAAATTAAAAAATTCAAATCCGCTAGTGATTTGGTACAAAAAATTACCTAAATTAACTTTTTTAATTAGCTAATAGATTGGATCTTAACCATTATCCACTAATTTTTTTTATCAAATACCTTATTTGTAATGGTTTCAAAATATATAAGTTTATTAAACATTTATTCTTAATTGTTTATGCAAAACCACTAATCCTTCCCTCAAAATTACTATACCAAACAGACTTGAAATCTAAGATTAAGTCTTAAAATTAGTATTTAAGGCAATTTTGTTTTTTTTTATCAGCAAAACAAAATTTTATTTAATGGAGTACAAGGGGTACTTTTGCCCTTCTACAAAGAGAATAAAATGCTAAATCACCCAATAAAAACAAAAAAAGGGAACTCCCGCACAGAACCATGATGACAACCCAAGCAATCAAACTAAAGACCAGATTACCACTTCCGTGAACAGCCTTCCGTGAATAAATCCATACAGCCAATGCCCTCTAATTGGGACGATGATTTTGCTGTTGCTTAGTGAACAATTTGAGAGATCTCTTGAAACTCTTCAGCTCCTTTGCACATTCCTTAGGATTACTTTGCCACTAAACTAATGAAAAAACACACCCATTCACCTTATTTCTAATCCATAAATAAGACTTCACTTGAATTAACTCCAGCAATTGCTCTTTCAACTCCCCATTATTCCTAAATACCAACATATTCCGCTAGAACCATAAATACCAAGAGGTGACCAAAAAAATGCATGCTCCCAACTCCTTGCCCACCACACTACCCAAACACCACAAGAAAAATCCACCACACCTCGCACTATACCCGGCATTACTACCTCCACACCCCACCATTTAATCACCTTCACCCATACTAACCAAGCTACTTTACATGTGCAAAACAAATGATTAACATCCTCCACTCCCTCTTTGCAAAGCCCACACACCATACCATCCCCTTGTAACACCACCCCTCTCTTCCACAAATTCGATCTTGTTGGAAGCCTGTCTAGACACAACCTCCACCCAAAAAACCCCACTTTTGAAGGCACCAGCTTACACCATATTAATTTGCATAATTGTCCCTCAAGCAAACGTTCCTCAGGAGCTAAAAATTCATATGCTATCTTGACTACATACCTCCCTTCTACATCATGCCTCCATTTCCATAAATCTGCCAATCCCTTCCTTAACTTTATACTCGCCAACACCACCCCCAACCCTTGCTCCTCATCTTTTTCACGTCCCATCCTCTCTCTCCTCCACTCTATATCCCATTTCCACCTTTCTCCTTCCCATAAACCATTCTCCTTGACCGTACCTTCCTTGTTGATAGCTAATTGAAAAAGCCTTGGAAATAAATCTCTTAGAGATTTATTCCCCACCCAAATATCTCTCCAAAAGCACACCCGACAACCCTCCCCCACCTCCCACCGGAACCCATGCCTTAACATATTTTTGAGCTTCTCTGATTTCCCACCTATTCTAATAATGTCTCCCCAAATCTGCGACACCCTTAAATTCACCACATCAATCATACCCACCTCTTGCTTACCCTCGTAAAATTTCTCTTTCACTACCCTTTTCCACAACCCCTCCCTTCCATCCCCTAACCTATACCACCATTTCCCTAAAAGCGCCCAATTTCTCCGACGCAAATCCGGAACACCTAATCCTCCTTTCTCCTTACTCCAGCAAATAGCCTCCCATTTTACCCACGAGATCTTTCTTTTCTCCCATGAACCCCCCCCACAAAAACTCCCTTTGAATAGCGACTAATTGAGCAAGCACAGAATTAGGCATATAAAATAGGTTAAATACCCTTTTTGGTCCCTCTACTATAGGAAAAAGCCCCTTTTTGGTCCCTGTACCGAAAAAATCCCTTTTTTGGTCCCTAAATTTTAAAATCCGGCCCCTTTTTAGT